CTCCCCAGCTTCTCCTGATGATGTCACTCCCCTCCAGATGGAAGGGATGACGTCACTCCCCTCCACCTAGGCTTCTCCTCCCAGCAGTGCTGCTGAGGCATATCCAACCTGACTCAGGCTCCAGGGTTCCACTTCCAGTGCAGATCCCGAGGAGACGTCCAATATCTAATCATGGAAACCCCAAAGCTGGGGAGGACTCTATGATGCAGGTGCCAGGAGGCCATCTTTTTTTAAATCTGAGATTTGTGATTTTGAACACGAGTCATGAAGCCTATGGGAATCTGATAAAAGCTATGGACCCTTTGCCCAGGTAAAAGCACATTCACATAAGAATATAGGGGGTTCCCTGCATCTCATGAAGCCCATCCACAGAAAGTAGATTTGCATCTGCTTTCGGTAGAAAAGCATCCTATTTTTTAGAACCTTTGTTATATTCCTTGAAACATTCCAATGATCTGATGTTTTTCAACCTTAGGATGAACAGGGGTGTTTTCCCCCTTAATTACAGAGGAGTTTGTGTTGGGAGAAGACAGATCTAGTGGTAAATAAAGCCTAGGGCTTGTCTGGGAGAATGAAGATGAAAAGAATAGCTCAAGTCTCGTGTTTTGCCAGAAGGAGAAGGAACACGGCGTCCTCACGCTCAAGGCCTGTTCTAAACTTAGCCAGCTCCCGTGGTTCCAAAGTTGGCAAAATGAGCTCCCACCATCCTAATAAACACGCCGTGGTGCAGTGACTCACTGAGACAGCAGCCGTGTGCGAGATGGGGCTGCTTCTGGTCAGTGACACAAGGGATGGTGGGGGCCTGGGACTCCCGAACCAGCAGGATGTCCAGTGTAGGGCTGAGGATGGCCTGGGCACCAGCTGCCCTAAAGAGCCAGAAAGGCTTGCCAGTGACAGAGCCCAACTTCCCATCATACAGAGGAGAAAATGAAGGCCTGGGGGGCTGGGGAGCAAGGGAGGACCCGGTGGGATCACCCAGCAAGGAAGGGAGCCATCATCTTGGGGAGTTCATCTGATGGCACTTCATACCTATCAAGGCATGGAACAAGGCAGACTAGGAGGATGGCATTCCTAGATGCCAAGGGATTTCCCTGTGACCTTAGTCATCTGGACATTAATAGAAGGTGGCTTCCAGAAGGAGAGACAAGTAGTGCTCCTCTGCTCTGCCCGGCCTGCTGTGGTCAAGCTGACCTGGTCAGGCCATGTTGGAGGTCTGGAGTCAGCTCAAGGTGCTGCACTCCTGGAGAAGGCGGGCAGTTTGGAGGAGGTAGATGGACTTGGGGTTCACCACTGGATGGGAACGCGAGAAAGATGAGCACAGTCACTATCTCCAAAGCCTCGGTGAGCAGCCCACGTGTCGGGCCCCCTTTGCAGAGGTGCAACACAGCACAGACTCAGCGCGGGGGGAAGGGGCCTCCTGGGGCTGGGGGGCTGCTGCGGGGTCCTTGCAGAGGTCAGAAGAGGGATCACCCGAGCAGCAAGGGGAAAGTGCATCCGGGAAGGGGAGTGGGCGAAGGGGTCATTAAGCAGGTCTGAGAGGCCATGGGAGGCTGGGACAGAGGGCCTAGGCCAGGGAGGCAAGGGACTGGCTGGGGGACAGGGAGGCGAGGGACTGGCTGGGGGCCTGGGGCTAGAATGGTGCAGGGTATCGATCCTGCATAAGACAGGGAGGTGCAAGCTTGCTCTGGATGGGGAGTGGCCTCCTGGCACCTAGGGAGGTCAGAGGGCCCAATGAGGTGGGCTCTGCTGGGCATCATAGCAGAGGCATGAGTCACATTCCATGAGGCCCTTGGGAGAGAACGAAGGCTAGTGGAAGGAGCTGGTAGAAGTCAGTCCAATATGAGGAAGGGCTTCTGCCAGCCCCAACCCCAGCTACTGAGCAGTGAAACAGAAGGTAGAGAGCTCCTTGGCACTGGAAGGCTTCAAGCAGGTCGGCTTGGTGGGGAGAGTAGCTAGCAGATTCAAGCATCGACGTCCCCTCCAACCTTAACAATCTCCGGCTTGGATTCCTCCAGAAGCCTTGTTGAGGAAGAAGAGCAGAAACTAATTTCTTCTTTTTTTTTTTTTTAATTTTTTTTTTTTTTAAGATTTTATTTATTTGAGAGAGAGAGAATGAGAGACAGAGAGCATGAGAGAGAGGAGGGTCAGAGGGAGAAGCAGACTCCCTGCTGAGCAGGGAGCCCGATGTGGGACTCGATCCCGGGACTCCAGGATCATGACCTGAGCCGAAGGCAGTCGCTCAACCAACTGAGCCACCCAGGCACCCGAAACTCATTTCTTCTTTAAGTAGGAAAGGGAAAGCCGAGACTGAACGCTGCATCCAAGGTCACACAGAGAGGCAGCAGATCTGGGAATGAAACCCTGATCTGCTCCTTCCCAAGCCCCAGACTTTCCCATCTGGTTTCCCAACTGGTGTCCCAGCCTGCGCTATTTTGGGTTGGCTCCCCTGCCAGGACAAGAGGGCGCCCATGGGACCAGCACAGCACAGACGGCGGCTCCCAAGAGAAGCTGGTAAATGAGCACCCAAGGGCCTGTCCTCTCTGCATGGGTCAGAATGGGGGATAAAAACGTGCTCCACACTTACCCAGTCCTGACTCTGTCCCTGTGCCATCAGGAGGGAATATAACTGTGCAGGGCAGTACTCTGACTCTGGCTCTCTTGGCAAAGAGAATCACATTGGCTTCCTTAGGTGGGGGCAAGGGGTCGGGGGGTGAGTTCAAGAATCACAGGTGAACCGTGTCCTCCAGGCCACCAGGGGGACCCAGTTGGCTTGGCTTGGATCTTTGTTTCCCAAGTAAATTCTTTAGAGTTCTTCAAAAAGCAACCTGTTTTTTGTAATAGCTCTGTAGAGATATAACTTATGTACCATACAATACACACATTTAAAGTGTACAATTCGGGGCACCTGGGTGGCTCAGTCAGTTAGGTGACTGCCTTCGGCTTGGGTCATGGTCCCGGGGTCCTGGAATCGAGCCCCGAGTCGGGCTTGCCGGGGAGCCTGCTTCTCTCTCGCCCTCTGCCTCTCCCCCCTGCTCATGCTCTCTCTCTCTCTCTTGCTCGCTCTCTTTCTCAAATAAATAAATAAAATCTTTAAAAAAATAAAGTGTACAATTCAATGGTTTTCAGTATATTCAGAGTTGTGTAGCCATCACCACAATTGATTCTAGAACATTTTCATCATTTCTAGAAGAAATTCTGCCCTTCAGCTATCGCCCTCGAATTCCTCACTTCCCTCAGCCCTAGGCAACCACTGATCTACTTTCCGTCCCTATAGATTGGCCTATTCTGGGCATTTCATAAACACGGAATCATACAATTTGTGCTATTTTTGTGTCTGGCTTCTTCAGAGGATACTGTTTGCAAAGTTCAGCCATGTGGTAGAATGTGTTAGTGCTTCATTCCTTTTTCTGGCTGAAAAATATTCCATTGTGTGGATGTGCCACATTTTGATTATGTATTCATTAGTTGATGGACATTTGAGTTATTTCCACATTTGACTGAGGAAAGATTTTGCATTCAAATAAACCTGGGGAATGATGCCAGCTTTGTCTCCCTCTTGGAGATCCACAATGTCCCTTAGCAAGTTAAAGGCTCTGAGAAGTCCTGCAATAAAGGCAATCGTTTACCTTTACTTGACCTACTGCTTCCCAGTCATCCCCTACTTCTCCACACAGAGAAATCCCAGGGATTTTTTTTTTTTAAAGATTTTATTTATTTATTTGACAGGGACAGAGACAGCGAGAGCAGAAACACAAGCAGGGGGAGTGGGAGAGGGAGAAGCAGGCTTCCCGCTGAGCAGGGAGCCCGATGTGGGACTCGATCCCAGTACTCCTGGATCATGACCTGAGCCGAAGGCAGCCGCTTAACGACTGAGCCACCCAGGCGCCCAGTCCCTGGGATTTTTGCGTCAGGTGTACACTTGGGGAAACAGTGACTGACTGAAGAGAAGCTGTCAACGGGGGCGGGGTGCGGGGGAGAGGAATGTCTCAACTAAAAGGAAGTTGGCTATGAAAAGTGTTTTAGCCCCTTTCTGCAGCTGCCGCTGGAGGCACTGAAAATGCCATGATTTGAGAAATCCAGCAGATTGGGAGACCTTCCGAGGCTATGGCCAGTCCCTTCATTTGCTTCTTTGGTCATTAAATATACACAGTCTGAGTACTTATGGGGCTAGAGCAGAGGCTTGCAAGTATTTATGACCATGGGAAGGAATTCATTTTACTTTATGACCCGGTTTTACACACACGCATACAACTGAAAGTCTGTGAAGCAATACTTAGTCTTACTGTATGCAGCGCCTTCTGTGACTATTCTATTCTACTTTATTCAAAAAATATAGGCTAGTCCTGACCCACTAAAATGATTTCCTAACTCATTAATGCATCATAATCTGCAGTTTATTTTTATTTTTTATTTTATTTTTTTAAAGATTTTATTTATTTGTTTGACAGAGAAAGAGACAGCGAGAGAGGGAACACAAGCAGGGGGAGTGGGGGAAGGAGAAGCAGGCTTCCCACAGAGCAGGGAGCCCGATGTAGGGCTCGATCCCAGGACCCTGGGATCATGACCCGAGCCGAAGGCAGACGCCCAACAACTGAACCACCCAGGCGCCCCATAATCTGCAGTTGAAAAGCCACTAAGGTGACAGAGCCGGAAGAAATATTTACAAAACATATCTGACAGAGAGCTGCATATATAAAACACATATAGAGATCTGTTAGGAGGGTGCCTGGGTGGCTCAGTCAGTTAAGCGTCTGACTCTTGATTTCAGCTTAGGTCATGCTCTCAGCGTCGTGAGATGGAGCCCCGCATCAGGCTCTGTGCTCAGTGTGGAGTCTGCCTGAGATTCTCTCTCTCTCTCCCCCTCTGCCCCTCCCCTTGCGCGTGCTCACTCTCTCACTGTCAAATAAATAAATAAATAAATAAAATATTTTAAAAAATAAGATCTGTTAAGACTCAAAGAAAGGAAACCAAAAAAAGGAAGAGGAAAAGAAAAACATGCAAGAGCAAGAGCCCAATAAAAAACAGGCAAGGGGCGCCTGGCTGGCTCAGTCGGTAGAATATGCAACGTGATCGTGGGGTTGTAGGTTCGAGCCCCGTGTTGGGTGTAGAGATTACTTAAAAATAAAATCTTTTTAAGAAATGGGCAAAAGATTTTAACAGGCGCACCCCAAAGAAGACGTAAGAACAGCCAGAACACACACGAGAAGTCCGTGAGCGTGAGTGGTCATCAGGAGATGATGTGCCACTGCATGCCCTTTAGAATGGCTAATGTGAGACAGAACTGACCATTGGATATGGGGGGGACTGGAGCATTCATATGCTGTTGGTGGGAATGTAAAATACTCTGGCCACTTCGGAGAGCGGTATGAAAGGGCCCTATAAAATTAAACACACCCTCGCCATGCGCCCCAGCCATCTCACTCCTAGGTATTTACCAAGAGAAATTAAAACAGGTCTCTACAAAGACTAGTACGGCGATGTTCACAGCATCATTATTCATATTAGCCAAAAATGATAGAGCAAATGTCCCCTGACAGATGAACAGATAAACCAGTTGTAGTATATTCATACGAAGGGATCCTGCTCAACCATAAAAAGAATGACATGTTTTGTTTTGTTTTGTTTTAAAGATTTTATTTATTTATTTGAGAGAGAGAGAATGAGAGAGAGCACATGACAGGGGGGAGGGTCAGAGGGAGAAGCAGACTCCCTGCCGAGCAGGGAGCCCGATGCGGGACTCGATCCAGGGACTCCAGGATCATGACCTGAGCCGAAGGCAGTTGCTTAACCAACTGAGCCACCCAGGCGCCCAAAAGAATGACATGTTAACACATGCAGTAGTATATACAGATCCCACAACATCAGGCTGAATGTAGGAAGTCAAACACAGATTGATTACAAATGGCATCATTTCGTTTATGTAAAATTCTGGAGAAGACAAAGCGATAATGACATGATGCAAATCCATGGCTGCCTGGGGCTGGGGAGAGGGGCTGCAAAGGGACCCAAGGGGACCTTCAGGGTAATAGCAACGTGCATATAACTGTACTCAATCACCCACATTCAAGCTCTACACCTAGAATGAGTGACTTTTATTACATATAAAGTACACTTTAATAAAACCATTTGTCAAATCTTGAAGACAGGGGCACCTGGGTGGTTCAGCCTGTTAAGCGTCCGACTCTTGATTTCGGCTCAGGTCATGGTCTCAGGGTTGTGAAACTGAGCCCCTCCTACGGCTCCGTTCTGGGCGTGGAGCCTGCATAGGAGTCTCTCTCTCTCTTTGCCCCACCCCCCTCTCCCTCTCTATAAATAAATAAATAAATAAAACAAATCATTGAAGACAAATTATATAGGTGAGAGTTGGAAGGGGAGGGAGATGGAGGGGCAGAGAAGGGCTCAGTCGTGGGTCTACAAGGCTAAGGGGTGTGCACTGTTCCCAAGAGCCATGGGGAGCCATGCAGAGCTTCGAGCAGATGGTGTCATGATCTGATTTGTATTTAAAGCAGTCTCCCGGGCCACTCTGTGGAGAAAGGGTCTGGTGAGAGGAAATGAGGGCCGGAACTGAGAATTGTGGGGCTGCTGCAGCTGAGAACCATTTAGGCGGTAGGAGAGGCTCTGGAGGAGGAGTAGGAGGGTGTGGGAGAGGGGCTGGGCAGCCATGGGGGACATCTGAATGCATCGGATACTTCTGCCCTAGCAACCAGGCGAAGGGCGGTGCCTGCAGAAGGCGATCGGGTTAGGGGAGAAAGAGGATGAGATGACGGGCTGTGGCATCTTGCATCTGAGGGGCTGCGGCCCCCCTGAGGAAGTGGTGGGAGGTCAGGGCTCTTAGGGATCCAGGGGCTCGGAAGAGTGGCGTTTGCTGAATGCAGTCTTGGGAGTCTGGTGAAGCCCTGGGAGGGAAGGAGAGGCTAGGGGCGGGTGGGAAGGATGGAGAGTTGAAGCACGTCTGGGAGAACCCCCATGTTGAAGAGTGAGTGGGAAGGGCTGGAGATCAGAGGAAGACAGAGGGTGTGTTGGATAGTGGTCAGATAGGTCAGCTGCTACAGAGCAGAACAGTCACGGTCATGGTCACGGTCATGGTAGTGGGGGATGCAGGCCGAGATCAGGGACAGGAGAGCAGGGGCGGGAACTCCCCTGCAAGAGTGAAAGGGTAAATGAGATGACAGCAGGGCGTGTAGATGCTCTTTGGAAAAGTGTGTCCGAGAGAAGGGAGGACGAGGAAGTGGGAGATGGAGCAGGAGGTGGCCGCAGGAAGGGTGAGGAGTCCTGGCTCTGGTCTCTTGGTGCGGGCTTCCCTCCCAAACCTTCTTGCTGCTCGGAGTAGAAACAGCCTCTTTTTGGCAACCGTCTTGCCCTTACTCGTGCTTGGATTAACAGCAAATTCTAGTTTCCTTGCCGACTCATTTCCCACCCTTCAGGGAGCCTGGCAGGCGGCCCGGGCTCCTTCCCTGCCCCCTCCTCCCAGGCAAGAGTGAGCTGCAGGAGGTGCCCCGCTGGCTCATCACCAGAGAGCCCAGGAAGTGGGGTGAGACCTGGAAGGCAACTCAGTCGATCCCCGTCTTGGCGGAGGAGTAAAACTGGACCCAGAGAAGGGCCTCTGGTTTGCCCAAGGCTGCAGAGCTGTCCGCACAACCCTGCACAGACCCCCAGTGGCAGACATGGGGAAGTTTGGGTGGGGAGGTGGTGCCCAGACAGTCTTGAGGACCAAGGGGACACCTCCGCACCCAGCAGGAACTCTGGGCCCTCCAGCTGGAAGAACCTGGAGGAAAGGGGGAGATAAGAAAATGACTCTCCAGTGACTGACTGGCCAGTTACCCTTGATTGCTTGTGTGGGGAGGGGCAGCGCCCAGCCCTGGGCCTCTGCCAGGCTCCCTAAAGGGTGGGAAATGAATTGGCCTGGAAATTGGAATCTACTGTTATCTCAGACATGAGTAAGGGCAAAACGGTTGCCAAAAAGAGGCTGTTTCTACTCCAAGAAGCAAGAAGGTTTGGGAGGGAAGCCCGCACTGTAAGACCAGAGCCAGGACTCCTCACCTATTTTGCTACCATCTGGCTCTGTGACCTTGAGCAATCTGCTTCACCTCTCAGGGCTTGGAAATTCCACCCATCACCTCCAGCAGACACATGTTAATTCATTCATTCATTCATTCACCCAACAAGCATTTCTCCACATCTGCTGCCTTGGACAGAGATGTGCTGTGGGAAGAGCTAAGCTTTGGAGTGAGAGACCTGAATTCAAATCTCCATCTGCCACTTGCTAGCCAGGTGACTTTGAGCAAGTCATTTAATCTCTGTGTGTTTCAGTTTCCTCATCTGCAAAATGGGGGTAACAATACCTACCTCAAGGAATCTTGCTATTTTCCCATCTCATGACCAGCCAAGTACCATCTTCACATGTATCTCTTCAAGTTCAAAACGAGGGAGTTAATACATGCACTGGACATTAAAGAAAAAAAAAAAAAGGAGTAACTACCTCACAAGGCAGATATAAGGATTAGGTTACTCGAGACAAATAAGAATCTTTAATATGGGCGCCTGGGTGGCTCAGATGGTTCAGCATCTGCCTTCGGCTCAGGTCATGATCTCAGGGTCCTGGGATCGAGCCCCACGTCGGGCTCCTGGCTCAGGGGAGAGTCTGTTCCTTCCTCTCCCTCTGCCCCTCCCCCTGCTTGTGTTCTCTCTGTCTCTCAAATAAATTAATTAAATTAACAAATCTTTAGTAAATGCTGAACAAGGCAGCCATGAGTTTGACAACAAATAGCAGCCTGATGATGATGATGATGATGATGATGATGATGATGATCTGTAAAGCCTAAACCAAAGCCTGAAGCATGAAATGTGCTCAAGAAATTGTAGTTACTGGGGTGCCTGGGTGGCTCAGTCAGTTAAGCATCCAAATCTTGGTTTTGGCTCAGGTTGTAATATCATGATTGTAGGATTGGGCTCCACACTCAGCATGGAGTCTGCTTGAGATTCTCTCTCTCTCACCCTCTGCCCTTTCTGCTCATGCTCTCTCTCTCTGAAATAAATAAATCTTGAAGAAAAAAAAAGAAATTGTAGTTACTGTTATTGTAGTTACTGTGTGTCATTGTGTTTTTGTGTTACTGTTATTGCATTATTGTGTTATTGACATGAACAATCATAGCACAACAATATCATTGTATGTAAAGTGTGCAATGGGCTTGCTGAGGTAGCAGCTACTTAAGAAGTGGTTGCTATGTGGGGCGCCTGGGTGGCTCAGTTGGTTAAGCGACTGCCTTCAGCTCAGGTCATGATCCTGGAGTCCCGGGATCGAGTCCCGCATCGGGCTCCCTGCTCGGCGGGGAGTCTGCTTCTCCCTCTCCCACTCCCCGTTTGTGTTCCCTCTCTCGCTGTGTCTTTCTCTGTCAGATAAATAAATAAAATCTTAAAAAAAAAAAAAGAATGGTTGCTATTCATGCATTTATCTCAGTGATGACATCATGATGTGCCCAGTGCCCGCCACCTAGTAGATGCTCAATGCATGTGAGTTTCCTCCCCATTGGCAGAGACCTCAGAGCATCCTGGCCCTGGTGAAGGGTCCATGGTCATCTAGGAAGGACGTAGGCACCCCCAGATACCCAAAGCAGGGTGTGTGTGGTCTCCACCCTGGGGCAGCTCAGGACCCAGATCTCTCACAGCTGCTGTTGGAAGAGACAGATCTTTCCAGCAAACCTTAAGTCTGTTTCCAGACCAGCCACTGTCCCCTCACCCCCAGTCCCTGTTTCTCAGCCCAGGAACAAGCCAGACTCTGCTCTCCCTGCTCAACATTTATATTTCCAGCTATTTATAACCCAGGCTTAGAGCGGCCATGGTGGGGCTGAATGGGCAGTGAGGAGTCTGGCCTCCCATCAAGTGGGCAGCCCCAGAGGCCCTGGCCCCCATCAGAACATTTCATTTCAAACCCTCTCTTTAGCTTTCTTTCTCCCCCCACTGGCTCTGGTCCAGCATTTCTGTAGCTTGGATGACATGGCTCGATGAGAGGACATTTCATGTATCCCAGTAACTGACTCTGTTTGAGAGTCACCTGGGCCATGGGGTCCTGGTCTGTTTGTGGTCTCAAGGCGCTATGCTTCTCTTTCAAAACTTCCCCAGCACTATGGAGGAAGGTGGCCCTGACCGCTTGCTGTGAGGTGGAGGAGGAGGTGAGAAGCAAAGTCCAGTAGCTGGGAGGGCAGCGGGGGGGTGGTGGGGTTGTTGAGAGGTGGGAGGGGTGAGGGAGAGGAGGAGGACACTGTGCTGCCTGCAGCACAAAGGAGGTGGCCACAGGACCAGAAGCCACCGCATTGTAGTGAAGGGCCAGGAGTCCCAGATCTGCTACTTCCTAGCTATGTGTCCTTGGACAAGTTACTTAACCTCTCTGAGTCTCCGTTCCTTACCCTGTAAAATACAAAGAGAATGCCCCCCCAGAGTCCCCATCAGGGCTGAGGAAGGGTTTGAGGAGCTCCTGAAGCACAGTGCCTGGCATGCAATCACTATGTCTCTCTTCCTTTTACCTCTCTCCTAATGCTGAACCCCGGCTCGCCCCCAGCCTGGAAAAATCGGAATCCACTGCTTTTCATGCTTTTCCCAAGGTTTGCCGTTAAGAAGGGGGATCAACCTGAGGAAGAGAGCTGTGGCTTCGGGTCCAGCTGACTGCGGGCTCCCCACCTACATTGCCTGACTCGGAGCTGGTCTGTTAGTCAAGGGCAGCATCGCTTCCAGCCTGAGCCTGAGCAACCACAGAAACTCAGGCCTTGGGGACAAGGGGTGGACAGGGCAGCAAGTGGCTGCGTGAGGAACCCTGGAGGCTCCCAGGAGAACATGTTTCCAGCTGAGAGACTGTGTGTGTACGAAAGCAGGCGTGTGTGGTGGTGGTGGAAGGGGCAGGTGTGTGTTGATGTGTGTGTGTGTGGAAGTTGGGGGAGGGGGTACTGGATTTAAAATTTACTCCAAATCACTCTGAGTCTCCTTAGGAACCCCACTTAGCCTGTGAGCTTTGGGAGGAAAGGACCGTATGTAGCTTGTTCGGTGTGGTCTCCCCAGGGTCCAGCACACTGCCTCGGACGCTCATGAATGAATGAATGAATGAATGATGAGGGAGGATAGCTTTCAGGAAGAGCCCGCCAGATTTAGGCAGCGGAAAAAGACTGAGAGGCCCTTGGGCTGTTGTCCCTGCTCCTCCGCACCCCTGGCCAAGCCCCAGCTGGGGATGGTAGAGGCAGCTGGTGTAGGGCAAGGAGCTTCCCAGCTCTGCTACCTACAAGCTGGGTGACCTTGGCTCATTTGCCCTCTCTGAGCTTCATGATCCCCAAGTCTGTCTGGGCAGGGAGGTTTTTTTCCAGTTAAATAAGTTAGATGGGTCGAAGGGCGTAACAGAGTCAGTGCTCGCTGCCTAGGCATTTCCTTAGCGAGGCAGGGGTGGGTGGGCAGAGACACACCCTCTCACCCCTGCACCCTGCCCTGCTTTCTCTTCCTGCCGCAGTGCAGTGCCGGCTCCCCAGGAGGGGCTGGCCGTGGTGAGGGGGCGGCTGCCTGCTGGCCTGCTTCCAGGCCCAGAGCAGAACCAAGTGCCACCCCCATCCCCGTCATCCCCACAACAGCCTTCTCTCTGTGCCTTCCCAGTCCCACGCACCAGCCCCCACTCCCACCCTCCGCCCCTTCCCTTCCTCCTTCACTGCCTTCCCTGCCTCTCTTTGTGTTCCTTCCAGACACCGTTCCAGCCCACTGGAGAAGAATAGAACAGAAAGCTCCTCCTCATCGCCCTTCTGTGGTGGCCATGCTCACAGCCCCCTCCTCTGGGGCCCCTGGACGCCTGTCCCCACCCCCCTGCTCACAAGGCTCAGCCTGTGATGAGAACTGGGCTTTTCACCGGAGTGAAAATACCAGTGTTTCAGAAAGCAGAGCTCAGAGAGCTGGCCTGACCTCCCAGCCCTGCTGCGCATCTTAGGTGGGAGCTCACTCTTCCTGGGCCTTTCCCCACAAACATGTCCCCGCCTCCCATCTCCAGGCCCTGTGCCACTCAGGCTGAGATGTCAGGGATGTCAGCAGTGTCTTCTCTGTGGGGTCCTGAGCTCAGGGACCTGTTGCCTCCTCTCTCCAGAAAATACCTCACAGAGCAGCCCAATTGGCCCCGGTTAGGAAGAACCCCTGACCGACAGTCTCATCTAGTGAGTGCTTACGACATGTCAGGCATTGTACTTGGAACTTGATGTGAAGTAGCACATTTAATCTTTACCACAAGCTTTTGAGGTCAATACCATTGTTTCCCCCATTTTACAGATGAGGAAATTGGAGCGACCTGCCCACGGTCACCCAGGCATTAGGGGCAGGATTAGAACACAGATCCTCTAACTTCAAAGCTGATGTATTTGGGTCATCACCCTTTCTCAGGACAGATATTGTGCAAACAAGCAAACAAAAAGACCATGAGTAAAATCCCCTTCTTACTTTTGATAGATTTTGTGCAAAGGGAAAGTCAGAGACTCTGGAAGGCCCCATTATTGTCACCTGAACAATCAGAAGTTCTGGGATTCTCAGTTGGGGGAATAGAAGACAGATCCGAATAATACAAAGTACATGCAGGGGCTGGAGCTGGTTAGGCCTGGGTTTGAATGTCAGTTCTTCAATTTGCTGGCTGGGTGGCCATGTTACCTCTCCATGAGTTGGTTTGGGGAGTTTCTCTTCCGGGATAATCAGTTAAGATCTTACTGAACAACCCTCCCACAGATAACAACTCTTGACAACACCCCCCCCCCACACACACACCCTCAAGGCCCCGGGAAATGAATAAAAGCAAGTAGACTCTGGAGCATTAGGGAATGACAAGGAGGAAGTTACCCATTTTTTATTTTTGATCTTGAGAGCAGGTTACAGTTATCATAGCACAGATAGAAAACCTGCAGTCTTTATGACCTAAGGAACCAGAGGACAAATTCAGATGAACCACAGCTACTGGGAAGTAGAAGGAGCAACCCCAGACAGGAGAGACACAAAGAGGGAGAGCCCCAACCCCAGATCCTGTGGATAGGTGTGGTTCAATCTCTGAACCACGTATGCACGGAAGCAACTTCAGCTGAGGAAAAATTTAAACAAACAAAAAAACCAAACCCAAAACTAAACTGAGATTTGGGCTGCCATCCAAGAGCAGAGTTTGAAGTTAATTGCCCAATAAAACAAAATTTCAACACATTTTGAGAATATCACAGAACCCAGAGTCCTCATAACATAACAGGCGCAATGTCCAGGATATATAACTCTGTTCCTCTAGAGTTATGCTCACAGACTTCAATGGAATTAAAGTAGAAACCAGTAACAAAAAGATAGCTGGAAAACTCCAAAGTATTTGGAGAGGAAACACACTTCTAAATAACACATAAGTCAAAGAAGAAGCGTTGGGAGAAATTTTTAAAATTTTGAACTCCATGAAAGTGGCAATTATCAGGGTGCCTGGGTGGCTCAGTCGGTTAAGCGTCTGCCTTTGGCTCAGATCAAAGAGTATGGTCTTATTGGAACATTTTCATGCCGACTGCTCAGGCTGCAATCCTCTAAGTTCATACCATGGCTGGGATGGTAATAAGACCCAGAAACTTGATGCCCTCTCTGTTTCAAACAGATGCTTGACCCACTGAGCCACCCAGGCACCCCTAATAGCAATTTTCATATGAGGCACGCTCTGATCGCTTTTAACACCCAGAACCTCTGACATAACTTCCGTGGGATGTCACCTGGGAGTCAGGGGGGATTTTTGGAAATGGACCTTGTCTTCAGTTCCCAAGGACCATGGGAGTCCCCAAGGATTCTCCCTTGGGATGCCTTTTACCCCTGGAAACAATTCAGATTGCAAAATTTAAGAAAGGCCCTGCACAACCTCAGTCGGATCTATCAATTAGATCTCTTTTCCCGGAAACAGGGCAAACAGACAGAGGTACCCTAGGACCATCCAGGGCTCCAGGGCTCTAAATCAGGACCTGGACCTAAGGGCCTCTTGCACAATGTGTTTGGTCTGTAACCAGACCAGTAATCTCCCTTCTGATATGTTGGATGATAATTATCTAAATATGCCTCCTCAGAATAAACCCAGGTTGCTGGAGGAAACACAGGCCCTCCTTGACGAAGGGGACACTGCCTCTCTTACTGTTCCTTCTAACATATGTGGGGGCTTCTCCCTCATTTCCCGGGTTAATGGCTATAATTGGAGCCAACTGCGATTATTCTACTTTGGGACGGGGACTTTAAGGAATAGTCCCAAGCAGCCGCTGAAATTCCCTTTGTTTGGGGGAAATTCCCTGTCTTCTCTAGCCTGACATGGACTGCCTAATTCTACTTCTTGGTGGAAAAAACCTGCATCTGCTCATTTGTCCTAGCTGACAGGCTGTAGGACTGGGGGACCTCTTTCTCTGCCCTCTTGGCTTTTATCCGCCTCCAGCCTTCCTGGAGCACCTCACCTCTTCTGTGTTCCCCTCCCTCTCCTCCTGTTTCTGCACCACCTTGGCTGCAGCCCGTATACCTGTTCTTATAGCATCCTCAATGCCTAGGGCGCCATGGCTCCTTCTACCCTCAAGGTCAAGGACAACCCCCGGACGTAACACCGCCCGCTTCAGATTTCCCCACCGGTGCCCCAGGTAGACACTGACAATGGGGAACAAATAATCAATTTGCAGGTTGTAAGGACATTTCTTTTTTTTAAGATTTTATTTATTTATTTGACAGAGAGAGACACAGCAAGAGAAGGAACACAAGCAGGGGGAGTGGGAGAGGGAGAAGCAGGCTTCCTGCTGAGCAGGGAGCCTGATGCAGGGCTCGATCCCAGGACCCTGGGATCATGACCTGAGCCGAAGGCAGACGCTTAACGACTGAGCCACCCAGGCGCCCCTATAAGGATATTTCATTTTATCTACATTTCCTTCTGCCTTTGTTTCCCACATCAGTTAAGAAAAGGGGCTTTGTGGTCCAGCAGCTCAGGGTTAAATCCTGGCCCTGTCCCAGGGTCCTGGGATAGAGCCCTGAGTCAGGGTTCCCTGCTCAGCAGGGAGTCTGTTTCTCCCTCTGCCCCTCCCCCAGCTTGTGTATGCGTTCTCTCTCTCTCTCGAATAAATAAATAACATCTTAAAAAAAAAAAAAAAGACGGGCACCTGGGTGGCTCATTTGGTTAAGCGACTGCCCTCGGCTCAGGTCATGATCCTGGAGTCCCGGGATCAAGTCCCGCATCGGGCTCCCTGCTCGGCAGGGAGTCTGCTTCTCCCTCTGACCCTCCTCCCTCTCATGCTCTCTGTCTCTCATTCTCTCATACATACATACATAAATAAAAGACAGTGTTCAGCTTCATCCTCTCTCCACCACCAGCCCCATCTTCTCTTCGGGCCAAGGACTCTAGCTAACTCCTAAAATTGCTGACTGCTTCTACATACAAATCCAGGCTCGGAGTGGGGAGGTAACCTGCATGTATTTACACAGCTAAGAAGCGAACCTCTGGTTGTCTAGGTCTTTCTGTGGTTCCATGCTACCAGCACACTTTTGTCAGCTCTCTCTCTCCTCCCCTATTCATTTCCTAGGGCTGCCGTAACAAATTATCACAAACTTTGTGGCTTAAAACAACAGAAATTTATTCTCTCACTGTTTCAGAGGCTAGACATCCAAAATCAAGGTGTCAGCAGGGCCCAGACCTCTCTGCAAGTCCTGGGGGAGGATCCCACCTTGCCTCTTCCCAGCTTCTGGTGATTGTTGGCAATCCTTGGCTTATGGCTGCATCTCTCCAATCTCTGCCCCCATTTTCACATGGCCCTCCCCCTGTGTGTCTTCCCTTTGTGCATGTCTCTGTGGCCAGATTTCCCTCTTCTTGTAAGGGGGCCAGTTGCTGGATGGAGGGTCCAAACTTATCCAATGTATCAGCACAAATCTGATTTCCAAGTGAAGTCACATTCACAGGTACCAGGGGTCAGGACTCGGACATGTCTTTTGGGGAGACACAATTCAACCCACAACATCCCTGAGATCTAATGATTTATAAGAAATACATATTTGGTCATTCAGCTGACTCATATATTTCTCGGATATATTTGGTCTTCACGAGTCCTGAAAATCCTCCAGAACTGTGAAGGTGATATGGGTGACGTGTTATTAATGAAGGTGACTTTTGGATCCACCCGAGGGTGGGAGCTGGTGAGCAGGAGGACTGACCCTGTGACTAAATGGTCAGAACCTTCAGCCCCACCCTCCACCTGACCTCTGGGGAGGTTGAATCAATCAAAGGCCAATGACTTGGTCAATCATGACTACGTCATGAAGCCTCCATAAAAACCCAAAAGGACAGCTTGTGGGTCCTTTTCCTTCGTTTCAGAAAGCTTGGGGAACCAGGCCATTGTCCTGTGCCATTGAGCAGGGCCCCGAGCTCCACAAGGACAGAAGCTCCTTTGTTCAGGACTTTGCCCCAGGTATCTCTATGTCTAGTATCCTTTATCATATCCGTTAGTGAACTGATAAATGAAACTAGGTGTTTCCCTGGGTTCTGTGAGCCACTCTAGCAAATGAGTCTGCAGCGCACGTTAACAGCCTGGGGCTTGTGACTGGTGTCTGAAGAGGTGGGGGAAGCAGTTGTGTCAGACTGAGCCCTCGATCTGTGGGATCTGATGTCATTTCCGGGTACACAGTGTCCAAAATGCTTGGTGCTGTGTATGGGGACCTCACTCCCAGACACGTGTTAAAATCCGGTCAAAGAACTCTAAAAGAAACCCCCCTACCGAATGTGCTAGACAATAATTCAGCAGGTGGACACTGAGCAGACACTCTGCATGGGAAGGAGCATCCTCAGGGTGTGATGGGGAGGTGGCAGGGCCCCATGAAGACCTGGCTGCCTGACACACAGGGACAGAGGCCCAGACAGGAGCCGGTGTGTGGCTTGGCCACCAGACTGTCTTGCGCTCTTCCTGTCTGTTCCGTCTGCCCTCCAGCCAGCAGGAGGGACAGCAGGCAGGCAGAGGAGGGAGCCCAGGAGAGGGGCCAGCAGCTTCCGGACCTAGCCCGGCCACTGACCACGGTCACTGCACAGCTCTGCGAGACTCTGGGACCCAGCTGCTGCCAAATTGACCTCGTCTATCAAGCAGTAATTCAGTCTAGGGCTGAAGGGTCCTTGGCAAGGGCTGGAAGGACTGGAAGGCAGAGGAATTTTTCTTAAAAGAGCTAGAGGAAGTCTCCCGGGGCAAAGGGCAGTGTTTTCATTTACAGAGCTGCCAACCAAAGCCCCATCTGTGGATAGAACAGCCTCACCGCCTTATGATTGAAAAGAAAGGCCCCTGCGTAGGGACTCCAGGCTCCTTGTCTAAGGCGATCCCTGGGGCAGGATGGCTTTGTAAAAAAGAGCTACTTGAAACCAGGCACGCCAGGATTCAAGCCTCAGCTCTGTCAGGTAGTAACAGTGTGGCCTCGGGTGTCACTTCACCTCTGGGTGCCTTAGGCCTACCTCTCCTGAGGTTGCTCAACATGTGTGGTTGGCCTCTCTGGCTCTGCCAACCGACCGAGTCACCCAGGCGCCCCAGGACCAGCACTGTTTTATCCACATGCATGTTCTTAGTATGTGACCCACAGTGGGTGCTCAGATGTTTGTGGAATGACTAAATGTGTTTAAAGGCTCCTAAAGCTTATAAGATTCTTAATAAATGTTAGTTTATATTATGATCTCAGCAAAGGCAATCTTACCTTTTTTTAATTTTTAAAGACTTTTGTTTTTAAATTTTATTTATTTATTTGAGAGACAGAGACAGATAGTTACAGAGACAGCGAGAGAGAGCACAAGCTGGGAGGAGAGGGAGAAGCAGGCTTCCCGCTGAGCAGGGAGCCTGACATGGGGCTCGATCCCAGCACCCTGGGATCACGACCTGAGCCGAAGGCAGACGCTTAACCGACTGAACCACCCAGGCGCCCCACTCTTTTTTTTTTCTCTCTCTTTAAATAGGCACTTTATTATATCCACAGGTGATAAAATCCCAGAGCTACTGTTAGGCACGTAAATACAGACCCTGCTAAATATTTAATGTTATCGAGCTTGTGAGACTCCAGCATGGTTTTGAGGCCAGTGACCTCAGTGTCTATCTTCCTGTTTGTTTGGGTGACAGCCCGATCTTGCTGGGCATGCAATGACACCATTTCTGTCCTCATTTCCAGCAGCTTCCTTTCATTCAATGAATACAATTCTTGCACTGTGCTCTTTTCTAGATTGAAGTCTAATTTGGTATCTGTTTGGACTTTGGTTACTTCATCCATTACTTGTCTTAACTGATGTAATTTAAGGTTTATTTTCTCATTTTCTGCTCTGAGGGCTGAAAATTCACTCTTCTCCAAAATAATACCTTTTTTCACATTAGCAATCTGAGGCATTATTTGCTGAACAGCGATCTCTTGCTGCATCTTGGTGACCATATCCTTGTAGACAATATCCATGTTGGTGTCCATGATCTTGACCAATGCAGAGGCAGTGATTCCCGCTTGCTGGGTTGGGAACCCATTTTCTTCGAGTAAACACACTAAGGCATGGGTGCCAAAGTAGAGCTTCTTGTTCCCACAAGAGGTGAAATCTCTCCTTTTGTGCTCCAGATCTCTCCTGTGCTCCAGCTGCAGGCTCCCAGCAGAAGGGCTTAGGTCCGTCCTGGAGGAAGCAAGGGCAGCCACTTGGCTGTGGCACAGGAGGAGGGCAGGCACCCCAGTCTTATCTTTCCTTGTTCCATATTGCCCTTCTTCTAAATTTGGATAGTGAGTCAACAATCCCCTGCCCAGCTCCCCCAGTTCATTAAATAATGAAGTTAGCAGTATCTCTTGATACGAACTGCCTAGTACGTTCCGGGGCTGGGCAGTGGAGGTCCAGTGATGAGCAAGAATGGCCCAGAGAGCTGCACCATGAAGTCCCAGCAGCTATAGTGTATGGTAGGTGAGCTTGGAGATGAATATCAGTGCTGGGGGGACACAGAGCAGGAGCCACTCAGCCTAACTTAGAGGATTAGACAAGGCTCCTCTGAGGAAGTGTTGGCTGGGGCCAAAGGCTGAGGAGGAGCCAGTGTGGGGACTGGGGGGTGGGGGTGGCAGAGCGCTCAAGGAGGAGGAAACAACCCGTGCAAGAGCAAGGAGATTGAGAGGAGTGTGCTTGTCAGTAGGGCACTGAGGAGGCTGGAGAAAGAGGAGGATGAGGCCCTCCCAAGCCAGGCTGATGACTTTGGATACAGGCTTAGAGCAGAGGGAGACACTGAGGGGGGTCTAAGCTGGGGCATAGCATGCTCCGACTTGCGCTGCTGGAACACTTTCTGGGGCTGAAGTGTGAAGGGTGGGGCTATAGACCCCGTGTTTGTGTCTCTCCCCCTAATTCATATGATGGAATCCTAACCCCCAAGGTGATGGTATCAGGAGGTAGGGCCTTAGCGGGGTGACGAGGTCCTGAGGGCTCTGGGATTCATGCCTTCGCCCCTTTCACCACTGAGAGTGAAAGTATGCAGTGAGGGTACGGTCCTCCATGAACCAGGACCGTAGTATTTTGTTAGAGTGGCCCGAGTGGACTTGAGACAGATGGGTTGAGGGGGCAGGACACCTGACATGTGGTCCAAGGGGAGATGTTGGGGGCCTGAACCCAAAGGAGAGACAAAGGGATGGAGAGAAGTGGGCTGGTTCCCGGGTTGTTTCAAAGGCCAAATAGTGATGGGGAGGACGTTGGCGAAGAGGGCTGGGGAGAAATCAAAGGGCAGTTGGGAGAACTATGTGGCTATTCCCTGGAAAGATCTGGACAGGGAAAGGCAGGAAGGGCATTCACGTTCTCCTCTTCCTGCCACCACTAAGGAGAGCTCCAGCTCCTGGGCTTTCCGGGTGGAACAGGAGAAGTGCTGAGGCCCCAGCTGGGTTGCCATGGAAGGCACTGGAGTTGGGAGGGAGGCAAGAGGGAGACTGGCAGCAGGCGCCCCTCATGCAAGAACAGAAAGACAGAAAGACAGAAGGACAAAAACACTTGAGGAAGTGGGCCTTTAAAAGCGTTGGTGCATGATTCGAGTAATTCCCTGTGCTTGATTCCTAGGGTGGCTCTACCAGGTAGATTGCCACAAATTTGATGGCTTAAAAAGACCAAAATTCATTCTCTCACAGTTGTGGAGGCCAGAAGTCTGAAATCAAGGTGCCGGCGGGGTGCTCTGAAGGCTCCAGGGGAGAATGCTTGCCTCTCCCAGCCTCTGGGCTCTCCAGTGATCCCTTGGCTGGTGGCTGCATCACCCCAGTCACTGTCTCCACACAGCCCTGCCTTCTCCCTGCAGATCTCTCCTCTGTGACTCTCTTATAAGGACACTTGCTGTTGGTTTTAGGGTCCACCTGGATAATCCAGAATGATCTCCTCTTTAGATGCTTAATTACATCTGCAAAGACCCTTTTTCCAAATCAAGTCACATTCACAGGTTCTGGGGCTTAGAATGCAGACATATCTTGGTGGTTGGGGGGGCCAACTATCCATTTAACCCATACCTTCCCTTTCAGCATTTTCCCAAGGAACAGCAGTGAGGATTTCAACGACTTTTTAATTTTTTTTTTTTTTTTAAGATTTTATTTATTTATTTGACAGAGAGAGAGATAGTGAGAGCAGGAGCACAAGCAGGGGGAATGGGAGAGGGAGAAGCAGGCTTCCTGCCAAGCAGGGAGCCCAATGCGGGGCTCGATCCCAGGATCCTGGGATCATGACCTGAGCCGAAGGCAGACGCCTAACCATCTGAGCCACCCAGGTGCCCCCTTAATTATTTTTTATAACAGCTTTATTGAGATCTAATTCACATACCATATACTTCAACACGTTAAAGTCTACAATTCAATGGATTTTAGTATATTCAGAGTTGTGCAGCCATCACCACAATTTTAGAACATTCTTCCCATCCCCCAAGTTTTTTTTAATTTATTTTTTTATTTTTATTTTTTTTTAAGATTTTATTTATTTATTTGAGAGAGAGAGAGAGCGCGCGCGCACACGCACGCAGGAGTGGGGGGATGGGCAGAGGGAGAGGGAGAAGCAGACTCCCCGCTGAGCAGGGAGCCCAATGTGGGGCTCAATCCCAGGAACCTGAGACCATGACCTTCATTGAGGGCAGATGCCTAACCAACTGAGCCACCCAGGTGCCCCTAAGCATTCTTTATATATTCTAGATACAAGCCTGTTATCAGATAAATGATTTGCAAATATCTTCTCCCATTCTCTGTGTTGTCTTTATTCTTTTGATATTGTCTTTTGAAAAACAAAAGTTTTTGATTGTGATGACATCCAGTTTATCCCATTTCCTTTGATTGTGCTTTTGTAGTCACATCTAACCAATGACAAACCCAAGGTCATACACATTTACCCTATGTTTTCTTCTACGAGTTTTATAATTTTACTTCTTATATTTAATTTTTTTTAGAGTAAGCTTTATGCACAATGTGGGGCTTGAACTCCTGACCCTGAGATCAAGAGTCATGTGCTCTTCCCACAGAGCCAGCCGAGTGCCCCTATTCAATTATTTGTTATGCCTACTCATTGTTTTGAGTATGACACCTGAAAAGGGCCCACAGGTGGCCAGCTAAGTGAGCTGTAGTCTTGAGAAGGGCCTGTATGGGCTTCGAAGAAGAGCTTCCTTATGCCTTTCTTCCCCCTTCCCATCCTCATTCCTGGTGGTCCACACTGCGGGGTACTGTCATCTGAGGGTGGAGTGCTCCGCATGGAAGGGGGTCCTCTGACACAGTTGAGAGGCCTGTTACAGACCTGAAGGAGTGGACACAAGCTATAGATCCAAACTGCAGGGAAAGAGCCGAGGACCAGAGGAGCTGGTTCTCCAGAACCCACCCCAAACTCAGGGAGCCAGAGCGCACTGCCGGTGAGATGGAATGTGTGGTCAAAACAAAAGAATCCACCCACCAGAATATCTGGACACAGACAGACAGATAATGCCAAGCAGCCGTGAGAATATGGAGCAACTAGAACTCTCACACACTGCTGCTGGGAGTGAAATGGTCACAGCTACTTTGGAAAATGGCAAGTCTCGGGGCGCCTGGGTGGCTCAGTCGGTTGGGTGTCTGCCTTCGGCTCGGGTCATGATCCCAGGGTCCTGGGATTGAGTCCCGCCTCGGGCTCCCTGCTCAGCGGGGAGTCTGCTTCTCCCTCTACCCCTCCCCTCTGCTCGTGATCTCTCTCTCTCAAATAAATAAATAAAATCTTAAAAAAAAAAAAGTGGCAAGTCTCTACAAAAAGAGAGTATACGCCTCGCCTACAACTTAGCTATTCCCACCCAGATAGATGAGGTGTGCACATGTTCCCCAAGATGTGTACAAGAATGCTCATGAAAACACCAGTCTGGGGGCGCCTGGGTGGCTCAGTCAGTTAAACGGCCTACTTTTGGTATTTGGCCCAGGTCATGATCTCAGGGTTGTGAGGTCAAGTCCCGTGTTGGGCTCCATTCTGGGAGTGAGGCCTGCTTAAGGTTCTCTCTCTTCAGGGCACCTGGATGGCTCATTTGGTTAAGCGTCTGCCTTCGGCTCAGGTCATGATCCCAGGGTCCTGGGATTGAGTCCCACATCGGGCTCCCTACTCGGCGGAGAGTCTGCTTCTCCCTTTCCCTCTGCCCCTCCCCCGTGCTTGTGCTCTTTCTCTCTCACTCACTCTCTCTCTCAAACAAGTAAATAAAATCTTAAAATAAAAAAAAAGACTTTCTCTCCCCTTCTGCCCCTCCTTGCCCCCCACCCCTCCATTAAAAAAAAAAAAAAGCACTAGTCCGAATAACCCAAACCTGGAAACAACCCAAATGTCCACCAGCAGCAGAATGAATAAATAAATCGTGGAGTATTATATCATGAAATTTTATATAGCAATGAGGATGAATAAACCACAACCTCGGGCGCCTGGGTGGTTCAGTTGGTTAAGCGACTGTCTTCGGCTCAGGTCATGATCCTGGAGTCCTGGGACTGAGTCCCACATTGGGCTCCTGGCTCAGCGGGGAGCCTGCTTCTCCCTCTGACCCTCTCCCCTCTCATGCTGTTTCTCTCTCGCTTGCTCTCTAATAAATAAATAAAATCTTAAAAAAAAAAAAAAACCCACAACCTCAATAAATCTCATAAACCCAGCATTAAGTAAAAGAAGTCAGACTCAAAAGAGCATATATTATATTATCATATTTATAGAAATTAAAAGGCAGGAAAACTCATGGTGGCAAGAGCCAGAATAATGGCCAGCCCCGGGGAGAGTAGTGACTGGCAACAGGGTTATTTACACTTTCTTGATCTGGGTGCTGCTTACATGGATATGTTCACTTTGAAAATTCACCCAAATGTACACTATTTGTCTTTTTTGGCATATATGTTAGATCATAAAATTTACAACAAAAATCCCAGGAGCTGAAACTGGGTGTGACATGGTGGCCAGGGGTAGGGTGGGGTGACTGTCATGTACAGCCGGCCCAGGCCCAGGGTTCCTCTTTTTTAGTTGTTAGGTTTTTAAAAAAAAATTTTTTTTTTTCCCCAAAGTAAGCTCTATGCCCAATGTGGGGCTTGAACTCACCAGGCTGAAATCAGGAGTCGCGTGCTCTACCAAGTGAGCCAGTCAGATGACCCCAGGATTCCTCTTAAGTGTGGTGGACACATCCAAGCGGATAGGGCTGGGCGTTTCCAGCGGCAGAACCCTGCTGAGCAAATGTGTGGAAGGCGAAGAGCAAATTAAATGAATCAGTCTCTTCCTTCCTACTTTCTCTCCTGCCTTCCTGCCTTCCTTCATTTATTCATTCTTTCTTCTATTACAGTTTCAGGACCCATTTATGGAGTACCCACATCAGCTGAGCCCTAAGTACACAAAGCTAAGTAATTTATAATCCCTGACCTCAAGGAGTTCATGGTCCGGTGGGGGAAGCAGATCCTAAAAGAAATCAGTGCAACCCAGAGGGAAAGATGCCCTGATAGGTGTCCATCCAGACAGCGTGGTCAGATTAGGCTGGTTGGGGATCAGGACAGGGAACTCTCAATGGAGGTGATGCAGGACCAGGGACCTTCAGCAAGTGCCAATGGGGCAGATTACAGAGGAAGGGTGTCCTGGACAAGAGCACAGCCAGCCTGGCTCCCCTCCTATTAGAGCTAAGTAGATAGGATCAGGAGGTGAGTATGAAAAATGATGGGGAGGGGGGGCGGTCAAGAATCAAAAAGGAGGGGCCTGCAAATGACTCCATGGTTTTGGATGATACGGATGACTGTGCTCTTAACTGCTGGCTAAATAGGAATCCGAAACGATCCTATTAGCAAGAGGCTGAGATGATTTTCCAAGGAGTCAGTGTCTTACAGTCTTGCCTGTGAAGTGCACAGGTGGCCTGCTCGGGGGTCCAGGCAAACAAAGCAAATATGCAAATCTGGCTAGGTGTGAGGCAGTAGGGAGCGGCGGGGTCTGTAGACATTGACTCTCCTGACCTGCCCACAGGTATTCAGATTTTGTTGTGTTCAAAATGTGGTGCAGGCCTGACAGAACAATCTGGTCCCTGAGTCCCCTCTAGCACTTGGCTGCCAGTCTGCAGACTCTGGACAAACTTTCCTCCAAGGTGTCTCCAGATATAATGAGTGATTTCTGTAATTTAGTGTGTGGGTGATGAGGGTATTGCTCAAGATCTGCGGTCCCATGAGGTGAAGTGTCCTCTGAGTTCCTTTCTCTCCTGAGAGGATCTCTCAGTGGACAGGGCTGCCCCGTGAGCCTTTTCATAACTTTCCGTGACTCTCAGGGGCAGAATTCAGAGAGATTGGTTTTTTACAGTGGAAAAATACTGGCAATCATAAGAGATCTTGATCCGGTTCTGGAAAATCCCAAAGGCCAAGAGCCCTGGAGGCCCAGATGTCCCATGACCAGGACAGGAAGACTTTTAGAGTATGCAGGACAAGGCACCTTCTTCTCCGGGAAGACCTGCTATGTGCCAAGTAGTGGGCTGGTCCCTAAGCTCATTGCATTCACATAACGGTATCTTGGGATATTTGTTTTTATTATCCCTCTTTCACAGAGGGGAAAACCAAGGGGCAGAGAAGTGACTTGCCCAAGGCAATTGTCAGCACCACTGTAGCCGGAACCCTAAGCAACTGGAGAAGGGTCTAACACAACCGTATCTATGAGGATCTGCTATTTATTCGGGTACTTCCTGAGCACCTGCCAGCCACTGCTGTAGGCTCTGTGGACACAACAGTGAACAAAACAGACAGCAGTCTCAGCCCTCATCCAGCTGACATTCCAAAGGGGGAAACAGACAGTGAACAGATAAACAACTAAGTCAGGCAATAGATGGGGAAATGTGGAGTACAGTGGAAGAACATAAATCAGGGAAGATAGGTGGGGTGTGTAGGAGGTGTGAGGGTTGCTGGGTTAAATGGGAGGGATGAGGCCAGACCCCACTGAGGTGACACCTGAGGAACTGAGCCCTGGCTGCTTCTGAAGGAAGGGTCTCGGATGAAGGGAACAGCAGAGGCGCTAAAGGGGAGAGGGTCTGATGTGTGGCAGAGGCCAGTGTGGCTGGAGCAGAGGGGTGAGGGGCAGAGGGGACAGGTGAGGTTCACGAGGGCATGAAGGCAGGAGAGCTGGGGGTCAGGTGGTGCAGGGCCCTGCAGGCCACTGCGGAGATTGGCTCTTACTCTGAGGCTGTGGGGGCCATTGCAGGAGTCTGAGAAAAGGAATGACATGACCTTTACCCACTTTGAACAGGATCGCTCTGGCTGCCGCGTAGGGAGACACTACGGGGCAGGGGCGGGGTCACCGGTCGGGAGGCAATGACAGTGACCTGGGCGGGAGAGAATGGGGTGCAGCCCAGGGGGCAGCAGCAGAGGTGGTGAGACGCAGATGGACCCCACATCTGTTTGCAAGCAGAGCGAGCAGGATTTGGTGGTGGATGGGCCATGGCAAATGAGACAAAGGGAAGAGGAGTGATGATATCCGAGTTCGGGACTGAGTTACCAGAAGGACAGAGTTACCACTTCTGAGATGGGAAAAAGGATGCAAGGAGAAGGTCTGGGGAAATTCAGAAGTTCAGCGTTGCCCAGCGTAGTAGTTGGGGATGCCGCTTGGGTTTCCAAGTGGGGATGCTTAGGCAGCGTGTGGCTGGGATTCTGGGGAAGAGTCAGCAGGTGGGAGGCTGTCTGTGAACTTGAAGAGGTCTCCAACTGGTTGGGAAAGCAGGGCACCCTGGTAAAGCTCCTGGGACCTCTTGATTTCAGTAGCACCCTGGCGTCCCTCGTAGTAGCCAGCTTCCAAGAGACCCCCAATGCCCCCCACTTCCTGATATTCACGCTCTTACAAGGGCCTCTCTCACAGAGGACAGAGCTGAGCGACAAGTAAGAGATTGCAGACATGGTGGTTCCTGATGACCAAGGCTTCTGCCTCGCTTTCTCTTGGGTCGCCTGCCCTGGGAGCCGTACGCTGACATGTCATGAGGTCACTCAAGCAGCCCAATGGAGAGGTCCACGGGGCAAGGAGCGGAGGGCTCCAGGGGACCGCCATGAGAGCGGCCCACCGCGGAAGTCGGTCTTCCAGCCCCGGCCAAGCCTTCGGCTGACTGCAGGCCCGGCTGACACCCTGACTGTAACCTCATGAGAGACGGAGACAGCATCACCCAGCGGACTCACTGCCACATTCCTGACCCACAGAAACAGTGTGACATAATAAATTTATGTTGTTTTAACCTGCTAGGTTTAGGAGTAATTTGTTACACAGCAATAGATAACTAATACAAACTTTTTTTTTTTAATGCCCAGAAAGGAAGGGCAGGTCCTTCTGTAGCTTACATATTATCTCTTATTTGCTGACTGACCCTGATTGGGGGTGGGGGGAGGACAGCTGCCCAGCCTGCCACTGTTCTGACTTCTTGGGATCCTCCTGCAGCTTCTCAGACTCCTGGGGAGGCTGTGTGCTCAGCATCTCCACAAAGAAGGCAGAGAAAAAAGCAGGCTCCTGCTGAGCAAGGAGCCCAATGCAGGGCTCAATCCCAGGACCCTGGAATCATGACCTGAGCTGAAGGTAGATGCTTAACCGACTGAGCCCCCCAGGTGTCCCTTGCAAATCCCTTTATAGAGAGTGGTTCTGCTCCTTTGATACAAGTCTGCGAGCCTCGGAGGGTGCAGAGGCAGAGCTCAGGCACAATCAGGTTTGGTGAAGATGAGCACGCGGGTCCAGGTGGCCCTTGCTCCCAATCTGGTCATGGTGTCTGGCCTGAACTCTGCCTAGGAGAAGCATCAGGCCTCGCTCCCCCCGTGGAGAGTGTCAGGACACCAGAATCCACTGGCAATGGCTTTGGCATCCTTAGACCTGGGTCTGGAATCCCCGTTCAGCAGTTCTGGCTCTGTGTCCTTGAGTCACTTCACTGGCTGACTTCCATTTCCTCAGCTGTCACATGGTGGTTTCACACTGACCTAAGGGGACCCCTGACACTGGATAAGCTGTGTGAATCCTTGGCACTAGGGGCCACCCATTAAGTAGTGGTGATTAGTATGATGGGACCTCGTGGCTCCAGGCTGGCTGATTGGGGCTTGAAAGGGGAAACCCCAGTGCTTTCCATGTCTCTCTGGCTCCCTTTCATGAATTTAAGTGACTAATATTTATTCCTATCACCCCTTCCGGGCTGTTAAAAGAACACAAATAGGAGTTTTTGCATGTAAATGTCTTAAAAGATGCTACCACAAAGGAGGGGTCTGCAGTGATGACAGTTGGATGGGTGGTTTTCAATATCTTCCACTTCTTTGTGAAGGAGAACCATCCTTCATAGTCCCCAAGCCTTGAATTCACTGGTGTGGTCAGAGGAAGTGGGGGCCAGAACTGGGAGGGGCGGAGTCTGGCAGAGAAGTTTTCAGAAGAAGCAGGAGGTTTAGGAAGGGAAGGCTTGATCTAGCTGCAGTCTCCGTATCTATTTATGCATCTATCTATTTACATAGGTCTGTTTTAATCCATCCACAATTCTAGTGATTTAGTAAACATTTACATAGCGCTCACTATTTAACTCTCCCAGCAACCCTGCAAAGCCACTGTCATTGTCCTCGTCCCAAGGTTAGAAAACTGTGACTCAGAGACTTCTCAATGTCACAAAACAAGCCAATGGGAGAGGGAGCAGGGGTTCTGAGTTTGGGGAGATGTCAGAGCCCACCACCTCCCACCACTGCTGGCGTGCTAGAAATAGAGGTGGGGCTCAGGGGTGGAAACACTCAACTGGTTTGGAGAGCGAAAGCTAAGTTGTGACCTTCAGCGTTCCCAGTTTGCAATGTTCTTCCACATCTAGGAAAGGCTACAGGACTTGCCAGCTGTAGTTGAAGAAACCCCTTCCCACTTTCCCCATTTTAAAAGGGAATCGACTGGGAGTGGAGAAGTTAAGGGAGTTGCCACTTGACCCTTTCAACATTCAATATTCTTTTCAAGAATGATCTCATCTCTCTCCAAGAGGGCAAAGCCTGGCCCCTGGGCTGAAGCAAGACAGAGAGAATGGAGGTTCTTTAAGCTCTTACTATGTGCTAGACATTGTGAACACATCATCTTGCAGCAACTCTGAGTAGTAAATATTTTCATTCTCAGTTTATAGCTGAAGAAATTGAGTTTCAGAGAAGTAAGAGGATTTGCTGAGGAAGTGGTGGAGGTGGGATATGAACCCAGATCTGGCGACTCCAGACTCTTGGAGGCTCCCTCCACTACACTTCACTGTCTCATCAAGGGCAGCCAGGTCACGAGGTGGAAGGGCAAGGTTAGGTCAGAGCTATCCTGCCCCTCAGGAAGAAGAGTAAATCAGCCAGGAATAATTCATGGCAAACTCCATTCCCCATGAGCGTCAATTCCCAAGGCATCATGGTGGCAGAACCAGTACTGGGTGGTCTCAGAAATGCCCTCTACTTCTTTCTTTTCTTTTCTTTTCTTTTCTTTCTTTCTTTCCTTTCTTCCTTCCTTCCTTCCTTCCTCTTTTTTTTAAGTACGCTCGACGCCCAACATGGGGCTTCACGCCCAACATGGGGCTTGAACTCACAACCCTGAGATCAAGAGTCACATGCTGAGCCACCCAGGCACCCCTCTGCTTCACTATTTCTGCTTCAGAGTAGCAACCTTGAGGTCCACTTAGCCCAAGCTCTCATCCGATGGTGGACGCCCATTATATTATCCCCCAGAGAGGTAGTTCAACCCCTGCATGAGCACTTCCACAGACAGCAAGCCCACTCCCCACTAAGAGAACCCTGACAGGGCTACCCTTCCGAGCTGTGTTGGCCCAAGCCCTCCAAACCCCCATCAGTCTATTGACAGAAATATGGCCACATATAACAGGAATTGGCTTTTTCTGGCTCTGTCCCCAACCATTCCTGCAGATGTTCCTGGGAATGCCCTGCAGGTGTCTCCCAGGTGCTCTGCCTTGGGAGGTATGCTTCCCAGAACTAAACCACCCACATTAAAAATGCTGACTTTTTAAAAAACCAAATCCTCAGTGTCTGTAGGAGGTATGAAGCCAAACTTTCAAGAAGCCACCATTGACAGACAGTGCTGATGTTCCTTCTGGCATACTCATGAAACTGTCCACTCTTTTAAGCAGTGCTCCTGGGACTCAAGTGTGAGCACCAAGGATCTTCTCCTCTGAATCACCCTCTTCTCACCCTGTCCGCAAACCTCTTTTATCCTCTTCAACTCTCTTTCCTTAGGATGACTTCTTCCCAGGGAGCCCTCTATCCCTTGTGCAAATAGACCCTCAAGAATCTTCCTCTCGGTTCCTCCAGACCTGCCCTGACAGGTCTAAATCCTAAAGTAAAATCAGCCTAGGCAATAATAATAGCTAACATTCATTCATTCGACAAGTGTTTACTGGGCTCCTACTTTGTACCAGATAGTGCTCTAGGTGCTAGAGATACAGCAGTGCACAAAGAAAGACAATGGAGGAGTCCCTGCCTTCCTGGAGCCCACATTCTGGAAGGCTGTAGGTGCTTATCAGCCTCCACGCACTGCTACAAGCCCGTTCCATGTATGAGCTCATCTAATTCCAGGAAACTGAGGCACCAAGAGGGAGGTAACTTGCTGAGTAATAGCAATAACCACCACTTACTGAGTCCTTTCACCATTTCAGATGCTGGGCCCTGCAGGTCGCATTCAGCATGGAAGGAAGTGAAGAGGTGTGAGGTAGGACGGGTGTGGTGTGAGTCCCAGCTCACTGTGTGGCCTTCGCATGACTCCTTCTGTGTTTCCTAAAGGAAGGCGCCCTTGGATGGCCCTGGTCTTGTGAAATAACCTGAAATACCTGGACTGGAGTGAGTTTCCCTGCCTCTCTGGAACCTGGAGGGAAAGCAGAGGGGAGCGTATGGGTCCAGGCTGCCAGCACCGCGTGCAGAGGAGATGGGGAGCGCAGGTCGGGGTGAGGGGCACCTGGTGACAAGGTCACTCAGCGCAGGGAATAGGAGCTCCGCCCAAAACAGCAGACTCCACTTGCTTCCCAGGAGGAACCCAAGCTGCCCTCGGCTCTTGCTGGTTACAGGGGCGACCATGTTTCAGGGCCCACAAATAATCAGAATCTAGGGCATACTGTCTGCCAACTTTGTACTGGAAACACCAGTACATGGCGTGGGGGTGGCGAGGAGAATAAAAGTAACACCTGCGGGTCTGTGGGAAACCCAGGAGCCTGGGGGGCGGACAGTGCCGGGTGCGCCGCCTTGCTCAAGGCACACCCCTGCCCCAGGTCTCCGTTTCCCCATCCGTGACCGTCAGTGTCTGGCTCCCGCGAGCCGGAGAGGTGGTGGGGAAGAGCAGGGTCAGAGGCCTTTCCCGGGCCCCCTCCCTCCCAGCGGGCAGGGTGCTGGTTACGCGCGCGGGCGCCGGGGGAAGGCGCTGCGGGCTCTGGCGCCCCCTGCAGGCCGAGAAGGGCCGCGCGGCGCCTGCGCCCCGAGCCGGCCGGGGAGGCGGGCCACGCTGCGCGGAGGTTTATGTCACCGCGGAGAACGGATATGACTCACCACTCCTCGGGGCCAAGGGGCGGCCGGGTCGAGTGCGGAGACGCGGCCACAGGAACCAGGGACAATGGCGGGAAGTGAGAGGAATGCGGGACTGGCTGCTGCAACGCTACCCCTCGGCGACCCCGGCTCCGCGGAGGGGCGGGGGGTAGGGTGGGGAGAGCAGCCGGCCGGCGCAGGCGCAGACGGGGCGGGGCGGGGCGGGGCCTGGCGGGAGGACGGGGCGGGGCGCCCCAACCTGAAGAACACTCTGGGCGGCCTTTCCAGCGCCCTAGCCCGACTCCTCGGGGGCTCCCCATGGCCTTCTGGACAGTGCTCAAACTTGACTGAATGTCAGAAAATCCCAGGGGCTTGTTAAAACCCACGTCCCGGGGCCCCACTCCAGAGGTAGGTCAGAGCTGGGGCAGCATGAATGTGCGTATTTAACAAGCTCCCCCTGGGTGCTGCTGAGGCAGGGGTCCTGGAAGCACTCCTTGAACCTAGCAGTACGGTAGAACACAGTCCTAGCTGCTTAGCTGGCCTACTGTGATTGGGCATGCTCCAGCCTCACCTCTCCCAGCTTCCTACCCCCTCCACACGTGTACTAGCAAGACTCGACTACTTGCATTTTGCTTACATTTTCTTTCCCCTGTGTGTTTGCACAGGCTGTTTCCTGTGCCTGGAACACCTTCCCCTCACTCCACTGCTGCCCTAACAGGCTGACTTCCACCACCCTTTAAAATCTCCATGGTGTGCATCAAAGGGCACAATCAACAGAAAAAGCAACCCACACAAAAGGAGTAGATATTTTGAAATCATATATCTGATAAGGGGTTAATATCCAGAATATGTAAAGAACTCCTACAACTCAGCAAAAAAACCCCACACACAACACGATTTAAAAATGAGCAAAGAACTTGAATAGGCATTTCTCCAAAGAAGATCTATGAATGGCCAATAAGCACTTAAAAATATGCTCACTATCACTACTCATTAAGGGAATACAAATCAAAACCACAATGAGATACCACCTCACCCATTTGGATGGCTACTGTCAAAAAAATGAAAACAAAAGCCAGGGATGCCTGGCTGGCTCTGTCGGAAGAGCAGGCAACTCTTGATCTCAGCCTCACACTGGGTGTAGAGATTGCTTAGATAAGTAAACATTAAAAAGAATGGAAATAACAAGTGTCAATAAGGATGTGGAGAAATTGAAACACTTGTGCACCATTGCTGGGAGTGTAAAATGGCTTGGCAGTTCCTCAAAAAATTAAAAATAGAATTACCATATGATCCAGCAATAGACCAGAAAGAATGGAAAGCAGAAACTCAAAGAGATGCTTGTATGCCCATGTTCATAGCACCATTTTCCGCAGTAGCCAAAATGTGGAAACAAGTGTCCCCAGTGTCCATCAACAGATGAATGGATAACCATACACTGGAATATTATTCAGCCTTAAAAAGGAAGGAAATTCTGACATGGGCTACTACATGGATGAACCTTGAAAACATTGTGCTAAGTGAAATAAATCAGTCACCAAAGGACAAATACGATACATTTCCACTGACATGAGGTACCTAGAGTAGTAAACTCATAGAGACAGAAGAGTTGCCAGGGTTGGAGCAGGGAAGGGGGGGCGTGGGAGTTATTACTCAATGGGTATGGAGTTTCAGTTTTTCAAGACGAAGAGTTCTACGGAGGGATGGGGGTGATAGCTGCAAAACAGTGTGGATGTACTTAACGCCCGAACTGTACAGTTAAAAATGTTTGAGATGATAGAGTTTAGGTTGTGTATTTTACCACAATTAAAATTTTTTTAAAAGGGGGTGCCTGGGTGGCTCAGACAGTTAAGCCTCTGCCTTTGGCTCGGGTCATGATCCCAGGGTTCTGGGATCGAGTCCTGCATCGGGCTCCCTTCTCAACAGGGAGTCTGCTTCTCCCTCTGCTCCTCCCCCCTGCTCATGTGCACTCTCTCTCTCTCAAATAAATAAATAAAATCTTTAAATTAAAATTTAAAAAAAGTCTCCACAGCAGCTTCTGACTGCCTGTTCCCTCTCCTCCTCTAGCGTAGATCAGGCTTCCTTATATTTGCTCCCGCTGTACCTCATACCTCCAGGAAAACATTTGCCATACTGTGGAGGTTTGGGCATTTGTTTGTTTCTTTTAATTCACACATTTATTGTTCTAATGGACAGTGGACTCCTTGAGGGTGGAAAACCACTCAGTTCTGTCATTCTGTGCCCTCTGCACATAATCAAGTAGGGTGAGCCCTCAATAAAGGTTTGGCCCATGAGTGGATGGGAGATGAGAGTCAAAGAAAGGGTGAGTGGTCACTCAGGTGCTCTCTTTAATCAGTTTGAATCAAAGTTAATGATGAAATATTTTCAATAAAAAGGTACAAAAAAATACTATGACAGACACCCATGTACTTGCCTACAAAGATTTAACGAATATTAACATCATGCCATATTTGCTCCAATTTCTTTTTTTTTTTTTTGCAGTTTCTGTATTTCTTTTAAAAAAAGACAAACAGGAAAAAACTCTGATAAATCGAAAGCTCTTCTCCTCTTCCCCTGTTTAGATAACCACTACTCTCAAGTTACTGTAGATCCTTCTTGTCTACCCATATATGATTTTACTACATGGCTATATATCAAAATGTACAATATTATATTAATAATATATGCATACATAAATACACATATGTATATGTATAATACCTATATTAGCAATATGTGTTTATAAATAGTAAGATACTGTGTAAATAAATTCCTTTGAAACTTGCTTTTTCACTCATGTTTCTGAGATTCATCCATGTTGATACATTCTGATCCATTCTTTTAAAATGCTATTTGTATAGTTTTCAATTGTATGAATAAATCTCAGTTTATTTATCCATTCTGTTACTGATAGACTGTTTGCTGTTTCCCTTTTTGTTATGTATAGCACTGCCATGAAGATTCTCGAATAAGTCCCTCATACAAACCTGAGGGGAGGTTTCTAGGCAAATAGTTGCATATTGTCAGCTCTCAAAAGTTCCTCTGAAACACTTGGGACCATATTGTTTCCAGTTTTAGAATGGTTCTGATCTTAAAAATGTAATATGCTATGTATCATATGACCTCACTGATATGAGGAATTCTTAATCGCAGGAAACAAACTGAGGGTTGCTGGAGTGGGGGGTGGGGTGGGAGGGATGGGGTGACTGGGTGATAGACATTGGGGAGGGTATGTGCTATGGTGAGCGCCGTGAATTGTGTAAGACTGATGAATCACAGATCTGTACCTCTGAAACAAATAATGCAATATATGTTAAGGAAAAAAAAAAAAGAAGAAGATGAAGAAGGTAGCAGGAGGGGAAGAATGAAGCGGGGGAAATCGGAGGGGGAGACGAACCATGAGAGACGATGGACTCTGAAAAACAAACTGAGGGTTCTAGAGGGGAGGGGGGTGGGAGGATGGGTTAGCCTGGTGATGGGTATTGAGGAGGGCACGTTCTGCATGGAGCACTGGGTGTTATGCACAAACAATGAATCATGGAACACTACATCTAAAACTAATGATGTAATGTATGGGGATTAACATAAGAATAAAAAAATTTAAAAAAAAAGGTAATATGCTAAATGATTCTATTTCTTCTCGAAAAGACAAAAGTTTAGTGGATGGAAAACAGATCAATGGCTGCCAGGCATAGGCGTGGTTGAAGGGAGAGTGTGATTATAAAGGGGAGAAATAGAGATTGTTTGGGGTTGTTCTGTATCTTGATTGTGGTAGTAGTTACACAGATCTATACATGTGTTAAAATTCTTAGAACTATACAAAAAGGAAAGAGAAATCCATTTTAAATTTTAAAATGTTTAAAATATAAAAATGTTTAAATGTTATATTGTGGATGTGCCACATAGTACCTAAGACTCCCAGTGGGGCACCCATAATCAAACAATAATATTTCTAAAGTAAACTATATGAACAATCACATTAAATGGGACTAATTAAGACTATAAATAACTTGGGGCGCCTGGGTGGCTCAGTCAATTGAGCATCTGACTTTTTTTTTAAGATTTTATTTATTTATTCATGAGAGACAGACAGAGAGAGAGAGAGGCAGAGGGAGAAGTGGGCTCCCAATGCGGGACTGGATCCCAGGACCCCCGGATCATGACCTGAGCTGAAAGCAGATGCTTAACCGACTGAGCCACCCAGGCACCCCTTGAGCATCTGACTCTTGATTTCAGCTCAGGTGAAATCCATTGCTTATTCATTCATCTGTGGACACTTGGGTTGTTTCCATGTTTTATTTTTATTTTATTTTATTTTTTTAAAGATTTTATTTATTTGACAGAGAGAGAGTACAAGTAGGCAGAGAGGCAGGCAGAGGGAGAGGGAGAAGCAGGCTCTCCGCTGAGCAGGGAGCCCGATGCGGGGCTCAATCCCAGGACTCCGGGATCATGACCTGAGCCGAAGGCAGCCGCTTAACCGACTGAGCCACCCAGGCACCCCTCTGTGTTTTAGCTCCTGTGAATAATGCTGTCATGTACATGGGGGTACAAATATCTCTTCGAGACCCTGCTTCCAATTCTGGATCAGGTTTTGTCCTGAGGTGCATTTAAGGCAAGCAAACCTAGGGGTGAAAAAAACTTGCAGTTTTCAGAGTTTTTTGAATTTGGGAGTTGCAGATAAGGAACTATAGGCTTGCACCAATTTATATTCCCACCAGAAATTTATGCATTCTCCTTTTCCCCTGTCTTCATCAACATGGTGTGATCAGGCTTTTTTTAATTTTGGCCAATCTGATCAGACCGAAATGAGGTCTCATTATTGGTATTTGAATTCCCCACGATTACTCGTGAGGTTGAGCATTTTTTGGTTTGTTTATGACCATTTGGTAGTTTGTATGTTTCTAGGAATTTGTCCATTTCTTCCAGATTGCCCAGTTTGTTGGCATATAATTTTTCATAATATTCTCTTCTAATCTTATGTCTGTGATGTTGGTTGTGATCTTTCCTCTTTCATTCATGATTTTATTTATTGGGTCCTTTCTCTTTTCTTTTTGATAAGTCTGGCTAGCACTTTATCAATTTTATTAATTCTTTCAAAGAATCAGCTCTTAGTTTTGTTGATCTGTTCTACTGGCTTTTTTTTTTTTTTTTTTTGCTTGTTTGTTTCTATATCGTTTGTTTCTGCTCTAATCTTTATTATTTCCTTTCTTCTGCTGGCTTTAGGCTGTATTTGTTACTCCTTTTCTAGCTCCTTTAGATGTAGGTTAGGTTGTGTATTTGAGACTTTTTTTTTTTAAGATTTTATTTATTTATTTGACAGAGAGAAACACAGCGAGAGAGGGAACACAAGCAGAGGGAGTAGGAGAGGGAGAAGCAGACTCCCCGCTGAGCAGGGAGCTCA